AAGTGTCCCAGGCCAGGTTGGATGGGGCTTGGAGCAACCTGGGACAGTGGAAGGTGTCCCTGCCCATGGCAGGGGTGGAACTGGATGGGCTTTAAGGCCCCTTGCCACCCAAAGCTTTCTGGGATTCTGTGAGGATTCTCTGATCTATCTGAGCTGTGCACAGGAACCTCCCTAGAAAGTCTTAAGTACAGAAAAATAGTCACCCTTTCCTTACATGTGTATCAACCACTGAGCTTTTGGTTAGATGAGACCAAGATTGTCAGAAATTATCTTGGGGTTTTTTGTAGGTTTTTGCAGGAAAAGTAGATAATTACACAGCTCTATCATGCATGCTTCTGATCTGATCTCCCTGGGAATCTGTTAGGAATTAGCTGGGCAGTTGATGGCTTCCAGAGTGGCTGCTTACTGCTTATTTGTTTTATTTTTCACTGAAAACTTTACCAGTTGTTGCTATTTCCCACCAGAATCTGGAGCCTGTGCCCTTGGATGCAAACTGGGTGGCTGAATTCCTGAAAGCCAGTTCTGAGCAGGCTCCGTGCTGGGTGTTTTGAGGCTGCACTGATGGGAATTCACCCAAGGAAGAGGAAGCAGCTTTGGTTCTGTTTCTTTGGTTCTTCCTGTCTCTGTGCACGTTCTGTGCTCTGTCCCCTCGGTCTCTGTCACAGCAGAGTCCCACTGAAAGGTTACTGCAAGGTTAATGGCTACGGTGAGGTCCTTTCTGAGTCAAAAAATAACTAAAATTAAACACCAATGATACCGAGATGGTTTTGGACTGAAGGGTTTTGAGATGTGGTTCTTCTTCAAGCTTTAAAGCGAGTATCAGTCTTACAGAGCCTCGATGCTTTCCGTTGGGTTTGCATGTTTTGCAATGTGCTTTATTTTCATTACCAGAGAACATTTTTACATAGTCATTTGAATATAGTTTTCTTTATTCAGCAAGTTTTCAGCATAAGTTTTCATTTGTATTACCATTCTGCTTATTAGTTTCCTCATTTTGCCATGTTTTTCATTGAAATCTCTATTATTTAGTCTCTGTGGGTGTGGGTCTGATTCCCCAGACTTTCTACTCTCCTGGTGACTTTGGTGGGAATTCTCCCTAGAGAAAACTTGCAGAAACCATCTGTGTAATTAAATCCATCTACTCCCTCATGAAAAACTCCTGTGCCTGCTCAGTGAATATGAAAACTTCTGAAAACAGATTGAGTGAAAGAAGAAACAGCACTGGAAGGGACCACCCAAAGCACTAGAACCAAAATAAGCATCATCCCTCTCCTTTTCCTTTATCCCAGAACTTGTGTCCATATTCCCACATGGAGGAAGAGGAAAAAATGCCACAGTTATTAATGATTGCCAGAGATCTTCTATAATACCAGTTTTAAAAATTGTCAGATGTTTGGGCAAACCTTCTCCTCGGCAGCCTGTGAGGAGGGCAGGGGCTCTGCTCTCTCTGCTGTCCAGCTACAGTGATCTGGGCTAAATCTGTCCTCCCAAAGTCACGTCCCTGCTCTGGGGGTGAGGTTGTTCCCAGTGCTCTGCCTCACATCTGCTTGGCAGCTGAAGCCAAAGTTTCCCCTTTTTCTGTGGAATTCTGAGCCGTTGGCTCCACGAGGCAGTGTCAGGATGGATGACAGGAAATGAAAGTTGGGTTCTTTGGCCTTGGAGGAGGGTGCAGGGCAATCCATTGCTGAGGGAGGCCCAGGGGGAGGAAGCAGAAGGGGCTGCAGGTGATCTGGTGTGTCCTGCGTGTGCAGGGCCACGACGTCCCGCTCGGAGAGAGGGGAGGATGCCACCAACCATCCCAGCTTGGGCCAGGCTCTGCTGGGCAGGGTTGGCTGGCAGAGGGGCTGCAGGGCTTGGTGACAAGGGGAGTTTCTCAGGGAAGCCTTAAAAACAGCTGAGAAGAAGTTTTGGCCAGAAGAGAGTCACACAAACAAGGGGTTTAACAGTGACCGGGGATTTATCTCGGCAGGTTCAACACGGGACGGATGTTCTGTGGTTCATTCCCAGGGAACTGAGGGAAAACAAGGTTGGCTTTTCAGGCACAGAACTGAAACGGGGAGGGGGTGGTGAAGGATTATAAACTGCTGGTTGCCAGGGGTTTTGAGGAGCAGCTGAGCTGCTCTCACCACTTGCTGTGGTCACACAAGACCATCACTGAGCACAGCTGACCTCAGCCCACCTTCCACTGATTTCGTGGAACCAAAGCACCCAAGGACTTGATATCACAGGTGTGTTATGCAAAAATATGGTTGATTTGTTTTGGCATTGGTGGCAGGTGGAGTAGAAGGTGCTTCTATAAATAACTTCCATCATTTTTTGCAAGGGCTTAGTCAAGGCCAAGGAAATTTGAACTTTCTCTTCCAAAAAGTCTTTCTGAAGGCTGATAGTTTGGGGATGGATCTGACAGCTCCTGTATGAGGTGGGACTGGGGATCCACGGGTCTGAGGTGGAAACAAACCACAGTGTGGACAAAGGTGAATATATTTTAGAATAACTGGAGACACAAACCCCACGTTTCTGCTTTCAGATTTAACAAATCAAGTGGAGACAACTGGGCTGCAGCTGCAGAAGGTGACGGCCGAGCTGGACCACTACAAGAAGCTGTTAATGTAAGGTTCCCATCCCTGGATCCTTCCCCACTGCACAGAAAGAGGCACCAAACCACTGCTGTCCACCAAGTGCTGCTTGTCACGATGACTTGAGAAGGTTTTGACCAGCAGAGGAAATATTTTTTCCTCATGTTATGATTTCTAAGCAGTAGTGTTTTTACAAGGAAATGTAGTAACAGGACTAGGGGGAATGGCTTCCCAGTGCCAAAGGGCAGGGTTAGATGGAATATTGGAAGGAGTTCTTGGCTGGGAGGGTGGCACAGGTTGCTCAGAGAAGCTGTGGCTGCCCCTGGATCCCTGGAAGTGTCCAAGGCCTGGTTGGAGCAACCTGGACCAGTGGAAGGTGTCCCTGCCCATGGCAGGGTGGAACTGGGTGGGCTTTAATGTCCCTTCCAACCCAAACCAGTCTGGGATTCTGGGATTTTACACTGTAGGTTTGGGATAGAAGGTTTTTATTGCCATAAAACAAATCACAAAGTTTAGTATTTAATCAGTGGCTCCGATTTCTTTCTTTATCTGCCCCCCAAGTGTGAGTTTGCTGTGACTCTGCCCCACACCCCATGTCCTGCCCCGCTGGAATTTCACTGTGTCATGCCTGTGTTTTAATGAAGAATGAGCAAAACCTAAATTAATAGAGCAAAAAAAAGACTGTCATCAAAAATAGACTGTCATCCACAATAGAATGTCACCAACAATGGAATGTCATCTACAATAGAATGTCACCCACAACAGACTGTCACCAGCTCCTTGTCAGAGCCAACTGCAGCAGGTGCCTGGAAAGAGAAGCTCCCAGAGCTCCATCTCACAGTCCCAGCTCAAATATTTAGCTCAAGAGTGAGGAACTGGTTCTGCCAATGTCAAGACCAGCTGTCATCCCTCCTTTCCCATGTTTTCCTGAAATTTAAACAGGGTTCAGGCTGTTCTGCTCTGGACTTTCTGGTTTCAGTTCCTGTGTTCAGGGGTCTGACCACAACCGAGTGGCAAATATTTGGAATGCTTAGCAACAACGTATTTCAGTGATAATGTAAGGATTGAGCGTGGAAAAAAGATGTCATGGACATGGTTAAATAAACAGGGAGGGCTTTCCAAATGTAATATTAAAATTTCAATGCAATATGGGCACAATTTCATAAAATAACATATTCTATATCTGTTTAAATGTAAATATGAAGCTTAACCATGGTTATTAATTGGTGAAATGATGACATAATGACACAAAACCTGCAGTTTCCAGCCCTTTCACCTACAAGATTGCTATTTGTTCAATTTTATTAATTTTTCCCTCAAAACTTTAATCATTGTTTGCAACATTTGTGATCCTGCTCAGGCTGAGATGACAATGGAAGTGGAACTTCCAGTTATGACAAATCTCACCTGGAGCTGAAAGAACTTTCTGTTTGTGGCCTTTTGACTGAAATAGAAAATGCAAGTTGGGTAATACACCCAGAAGTGATGTCCAGGTTGTGCAGGAGCAAAGGCTCGTTTCTTTGGATAACACACTTTTTGGAATGTTTTTTAGGATGAAATCAACAGAACTTGAAGTCTGTCAAAATGAACTGAAAAAGATGAAATACGAAAACGGAATTTCTGAGTCAAGGTAAATGCTGAAATGATGTTTCATAATACCTTTTTCTGAACAGGAGAGCAAAAATGGTATGATTTTAAAGCAATTTTATACAATATTTTTTCCTATTTTTCTGTGAAGTCATCAGATTTAACTTCTTAACAAATACATATGGGGTTTTTTGTCTAATATTTAATTTTTCATTTCTGTCTGTAACCCGGAATACAGTCACTGCAGTGCTGATACTTTCTTACTTCACCTGCAGGCTCACCAAAGAGCTCAAGGAAAAGGAGGAATCCCTTCTGATTTGCCAACAAGTCTGCAAACATTTACAGGAGGAAGTGGCTGAGAAGGAGAGGAAAGAAGAAGACCTGAAAAGAAGAACTGGGCGATCAGAGAGTGAACTGGAGACACTGAAAACTCTGTTGAGCCAAACAGAGGAGGAGGTGGTGATGCTGAAACAGGAGAGGTAATGGGAACTGGGCTGAAGTGGTCCTGAAAATTCCTGACAGTTTGGAATTCATCGGATTGGTTTTTTAATTATTGAAAGAGAAACAAAACTTGAATGGTAAAAAAAAAGAAAAGAAAAGAAAAAATCCTGCAAAAAAAAAATAGGAGGGAAAAAGCCCTGCTTGGCTCTCCAGGGCTTCAGCTCGAGCTTAATCAAACCCCTGAACACCCCTCTGGGGCAGCTGTTCCAGCTGTGCCAGAGGTACAGGGAATATTCTTTACATTTATCTTTAAATACAAAACCCTCTTGGTGCCCCTTGGCATTTTGAAATGGTCACAACGAGCCCGTGGTTGTCAGGAATGAAACTGGGTATGTAGATTATGGTCAAGGTAATTAAAAAGTATGGATTTAGGTTGGTAAGTCTAAAGCAAAGGTGCTCAAAGGAGATTCCATTCCAGGGAAAATAACCCTCAGAAGCTCAGTGCTTTATTTTCCACATCTGACAAGTAATTCCAGGGAAAAAGGCAGCTTTGTTCATAGCTGAGAACCTTCAAAATCAGTCTGAACTGGTGGGAAGTTGCCCTTACACTTCACCAAGTACAAGATCATATGCAAGAGCCTGGAGTATTGGAATAGTTATGGCATTTTATGGTGTACAAGTTGCTAATAACATAAATTACAAGAATTTAAGCTCTCCAGGAGTTTTGCTTTACAAGGCATCACATAACAAACAGTAACTTAACAGCAGAAAGCACTCAGTGGTTTTAATTCCAAACACCCCACAATTTTTTAATCAATGATAGCAGTTGTTCTGAGTTCACTAAGTGCTATTTCTGGTTTGAATAGTGTAAGTTTTTCTGTGTTCTTCAAAATTTGACTTGAGAAATATTGAAGACATATTAAGATGTCGTTTGAGGTGGAAGGAAGATGAGCTGCAGCATTTTCTGTGAAACATGGAATTGATGGAGCGAGTGGTGGCACTGTGGGAATGCTGAGTGATCCCGCTGTGCCTCCAGGCAGGATTCCTGGGGGTTATTGCACGGAGTGCTGGACAAAAGGGAGAGGAATTGCACCCCTGTGGGTGGAGCTCATCCTCACATCCCGTTGTTGTGGTTTCCAGGGAGCTGATGGTGGTTTCCCACCAGACCAGGACGGAGCAGCTGCAGGAAGCGCTGAGGCAGAAGATGAGGAGTGAGGAGACCTGGAGGGAGAAGGTAACCCTGGATGGGCCCCTGGCACCTTCTGCCTCCTGCTTTATTTGGGGTATTTTCTGTTGTCACAGTGGTCACAGTGGTCACAGTGAGGCAGGGACTGATCTCCTCAAGTGCCAAGTGTCCTGAAATCGTGGAATCATGGAATGGTCTGGGTTGGAAGGGACTCAGCCAAAAATCAGTTGATTTCTGTCAGGAACACATGAGTCTTTGTTCCCCATGAACTCTGGGTTTGCTGGTTCCTCAGACCCATAAATTTACAGGAAATTTGTTTTGGGGAACTTCCTATTTCCTAAACCACCTTTAATGTATTTTGAAGTTCATAGAATCATAAAACCATGGACTGGTTTGGGTTAGAGGGACCTTAAAGCCCATCCAGTTCCACCCCCTGCCATGGGCAGGGACACTTTCCACTAGCCCACGTTTCTCCAAGGCCCATCCAACCTGGCCTTGGACACTTCCAGGGATCCAGGGGCAGCCACAGCTTGTCAACAATATCCTTTGTACAAGGAGTTTTCCTGCCAGTCTCCTCCAGTGGGATTTGGGAAGCTGTTTACCATAAACAACTGTCACTGTGTCAACTGTTCTCCTCTGCAACTTCTGCCACGAGCACCAAAAAACCCCAAACTGAACACAGGAAATTAAAAAATATATATATTTATATGTGAAGGAAAATTTAAAAGCAGAGTTGAACAATAATTCTGACTTGTCTGATTTAATCCTGACATAATTGGTGACTGTATTTTTTGCTTCAGTGGGTGATAAGTGTCTGAAAGCTTTCCTGAGTCTCTGGGAGATCTGGGGACTGGTAGCAATTAAGATCAGTTCCATCCCTTTGGAAACATCTTCACCTCCATGTCACAGGGTGTAATTTGGGAAGGAGATCACACTGGCTCCATAATCACAGAGTGTTGTTCAGCCTGACATGGGAACCAGATAAAGATTGGTGGGAGGCAGAGGGAGCAATTACAGCTTTGGGATCATTAAAATGCAGCACAGGGAAGGGCTCCAAAAATGTGCTCAGCAACCAAAAAATCAACAACGTGATAAAGGGACAATGGTTGGTTTGGGTCACTGTGCCATTGGGAGCAGCAAGTGGGCAAGATTTCTGTTTAAAATAGAGATAAACCAGGAATTGTTTTCATTTATTGTTATTATCATTAGTATAGTAATAATACTAAAATATCATTAAAATAATAACAATAAGAAGAAGAAGGAGGAGAAGGAGAAGAGGAGGAAGAAGAGTCTACTTTGAGGATCTTAAAAATATACCAATTTTAATCTAAACCTTAGTGGGGGATTTGCACCTCTTCCACCCCATAGTTGCCTCTATTTTGATTTTAAAAAATAATGAAAATATTTCCAGTTTATCTTTTCCCTCCAGAGAAAAGAGTTTAGGGAGATTTGTTATACTTTTGCTCATAATTAGTGTGTGAAATTAAGATAATTGTAATTAAGCTCATTCTGGGCTTTTCTTCTTTTAATAATTTGAAGTAATTGGGTTGGAGTTGTGTGCTTGATGTGCCTCTCAGCCTGGTGCAATTAAATCCATTAGAACCCAGCCTGCACAAATAGAACATTAACATCCTGGGGCAGGAAAAGTATTTTCCTAAATACAGCCTTCAGTGTTTCCTCCAGAACCCAGGCTCTTCTGTTCAGGAAACGATGGCTGAACTTTCAGGTTTGAGTTTCTGATGTTAATTATTTGAGATGCTTTAAGGGCTGGGATGTTTTACCCGGAATTTGGAACTCATTCACTTTGGGTTCTCCATTTTTTGAGCCTCGACTGGGCAATGACCCATTGGCACAGCACAGGTGTCTGAGAGGTTCTGGGGAGGTTCCTCTGATGCTCCTTTCCCTGGATTTCTGGTGTTTCCAAGCTTTAAAGTCCCTCCCGACCCAACCCATTCTGTGATTTTGTGGCTGTGTCATTTTGCTGCTTTTGGAACCGGTGCCGACAGAGTTTCACCTCCAGAGCAAACCCTTCCAGCAGGATCATCTGGCTCAGGACCCAGCCAAGGGTTTTGTAATTCAGTGTGTTCATAGTGATTTAGTGTGAAGTCCAGCTGCCTAAATTTAGGGATCCAGAGCCGCTGGAGACTCCTGGGCTGTGACTCTGTGAGCTCTGGAGCAGGAGCGTTCCCTGGCCGGGCTCCAGTGGGTCGGAAGTGTTTGTTCAGTGCCCAGAATCTCAGGCTGCCAAATTCCCCATCACTTCCCTTAAGGCCCTGTTGGAAAGGGAATATATTAGAAGTTGGGCTGCTCTGTGTGACTGAAACCCTCTTGTTCCCCAGCTGGAAATGGATCTGGCCAAAGGAGAGGCTCGGCAGAAAGAGGCAATTCTGAAAGTCAAGGAGGAGGCCAGGGTGGAACTGGACCTGGAGAGGCAGAAACAGCAGGAGCTGATCACAAAGTACCAGCGAGACCACGAGGAGCTGCAGAAGAAGGTGTGGAATGCTCAGGAGAAAACTCTCGTGGCAGCAGATCAGATAAAACTGTTGAAAACCGGAATGGGAAGGAATAAAACCCCCTTTATGTGTCATCCTCTGTCTAGATGATACAGTGTTTTTCCCCAGTCTTAATATAGGACCGGTATATAATTTATTTTTTTGATGGAACAGGCAAAAAATAACTATTCCAGTTCAAGTGAAATGGTGTGGAAGTTCTTTGTTGTCATATTTTCTCTTCCCATCTGTGTCCCTGGATTTCAATTTTCAATCTGACATCATCATTTTGCAAAACCTTGGGACTGTTTCAGACTATGATGAGTTCCCACAAACCCATCCACGTGGTTTTTCCCCTTCCCAAAGGGCCAGTTCCCACCTTCTGGGCTCTGCTGGAGGTGGCATCAGGTGGGGTTGGCCGTTCCCAGCTCCCCAGAGCTCCAGATTCTTGAGTTTTATGTAGAAATTCAACAATTTTACCTATAACCTTCTCAAAGGATTTGGCACAATTCTTGAGAAATCTGAGGAAAAAGGAATTTGATGAAATTACACTGTTATTTAAAAGTTATGACATTGCATGGTGCTTTAGAGATGGAAAGAACACTTTGCCTTTGTTCACCTGACAAATATTTGGTTGTGATTTTAAGACCCTGAAGAAACACTGACTTGAAATTTTCCCATTTTTACCTCGATTTCTCTATTTGGTCTTGAACATACTAATTAATCTCTCTGTTCTGAGTGTTGATTAATTACAGCTCTCTGACACCCTCTGAGGGCATTCTGTAAATTCAGTGCTTTGAATTTGTCTCTGAGGACATGTGTGTTTGAATTTGTTGTTTTTTTTTCTCAAGTCAACATTTGTCTGATATTAATTCTCTCTGTACAAAAATACTGACTGTAGATGAATGCACTTTTTGTCTGATCTCGTGCAGATACCAGGTTTAATATCCAGTGCCACCAAGAGCTTAAGGATGGAGACAGAAATCCTTGAGAAGAAGCTCCAGGATGCCCAGATGAAACTTGCAGAGAAAGATGGAGACAAGGAGAAAGAAATTCAGAGCCTTAAAAGACTGATCAGTGAACTTGAATTTCAGCTGACGATGGAAAAGAACAACAACGAATCATTTCTGGATAAACTGAGGAAAGAAATGAAGCACAAGTCAGATGAACTGGAAAAATTAACCCAGGAGAGGACACAGCTGATTCACAGCTTGAGTCAAGTCCAGGAGGAGGTAGGAACATGACCCAGGAAATGCCTGGCTATTTTTACTTGGAGACATGTGATTTCTAACATCATTCAAAGTATCTGTTTTTCAGACCAGAAAACCCCTTGAAATGCAAAGATTGCTAAACCAAGACCATGATAATTTCATAAATACAGTAGATTACTAAATACAGGAAGTTTTAATTCAGCAAACACTTAAACTGGGGGTTTATTGTGTTTTATTGAACAATATTTATATTTTTCAAGTCCTGCAGGATATTTCTTTCTCAGCCTGTAGCCTCAGTTATGCTACACAAACATGAGTGAACAACAAAGAATTCCCCATGTTTTTGGAGTGGAAGTCATGGACATTTCTCACTTCCCACTCTTTGAACTGTGTCCCAGCTCCCCCCAGCCCAGCCACAGTTCCCTGACACAGGAATGCATGGAAATGACTCCACTGCAAAGAGGAGCTGGAGTGATGGATATTCTGACCTCAAGCATTTGCTGAATGCTTGGAATAGAATGGGAAGGGAGGAGAGAGCTGGGCTGCTCCATGAGAAATGTGCAGTCAGGGACTGCAGATAAGATTAGGCTGGAATGTCCGAAGCAATTCAGTGGCAGAAAAAAATTGGGAAACAGTGAAAATTAAACTCTTCAAAATGAATTAGGGCCGGGGTTGGTATTTATGTCTTCCTTGGCAAAGGTTCAGGAACAGTGTGGGTGAATTGGAGGGATGTTGGCAGTGGGTCTGTCAGTCCTGCCCTGACCTGGGATGGGGACGTGGATCAGGGGTGGCCTTGGCAGAGTGGTTGGACTCGATGGCCTTTCCATGATTCCACACAGCTCGTGCCCTTCCATAAGGAGGGTTATGTAGGAAAGGGTCAGAGGGAGGTGGTGCAGTGGCACTGAACCTTCCCAGGAGCAGCATTCCCAGCTCCCAGCCGGGCAGCAGAGCCGGGATGGCTCCCGAGCACTTCCCTCAGATGGAGCGGCCGGGCTGGAAGCGCTGCCGTGTCCCGGGAGTGCCCCGGGAGGGCAGGAGGGGAGCGGGGCGTGTTCCACATCCCCCGAGCCGGTGCCAAGCGTGTGTTTGTGTTGCAGAATTCCCTGCTCCAGGAGACGGTGCGCCGGGAGTGCGAGGAGCGCTGCGGGCTCACGGCCGCGCTCAGCAGGGCCCGCGAGCAGGTGCTGGAGCTGCGGAGGCTCAGCGGGACCTTCCCGGGGCCGCCCTGGCCCCGCTCCCGGGCCGGCCCCGCTGCCGGCAGGGAACTGCGGCTCTCCGGAGCCCTGGGAATGCCCAGAGCCGCCAAGGGAGCCGCTGCCGGCCGGCACAGCCCGGGATCGGCGGGGCCCAGCCCCCCCCACGCCCCCCGGGGAAGGGCGGCCTCGCTCCCCGAGCCCAGGAGCAGGAGCATTCCCGGGATAACCCGCCGGCCCAGCCAGCTATGACACCTCCACAGCCTGGGAAACGACCCAGGCCTTCAAAGGACCCTTGGCTTATGGACACCGGGGGCAAATCCTTGCCAGTGCAATCCATCCATTTCTACAACCTGAAATTCAGTTAAATTTTTATTTATTTTTGTTGCAATAACGTTGGTTTGTCCGTGGGTTTATTAATCGTGTAATGAAATGCTGTTTACCTTCCAAGAGGAGAAAAGTAACAGAAGAGTCTCTCCAAGAGGGGCACATCTTCAGAGGAGGAATTAAAACCATGGAATTCCAGAAGGTTTGGGTTGGAAGGGACCTTAAAGCTCATCCAGTTCCAACCCCCTGCCAAAGGGCAGGGAATGATGGCCAATCCTCATAGAATCCGAGTTGGAGGGGGTTGGAGCAGCCTGGGCTAGTGGAAGGTGTCCCTGCCCATGGCAGGGGGTGGAATGAGATGAGCTCTAAGCTCCTTCCAGCCCAAGCCAGTCTGTGATTCCATGATTTAAAATCCAGGCTCTCATCCACCAGCTCCCTGTTTCTGTCCCGTGACAGCAGCTGTAGTAAAGTCTGTGTGTCCAGAGAGGATCAGCACGGAAAGTGAGGAGAGAGACACAGGACAACGTTTGGAACATGAGGGAAGGTCTGAACCCTGGATCCAAACCAAGTGGAGAACAAATATTTCCTTTCTCCCCCTCCCTCCCAGGAAGCCAGAGCTCCTGCTGCTCAGCAATGAGCAAAATACGGAAATGTCAGGAAAGCTCTTGGACTGGCCTGTAAAACCAGCCCCATGAATGTCTCCATGTCAGGGAGAGGTTACAGGCTGGTTTTGTCCCGGGGTTAAAGGCAGCAGCACAAAGTGCCCTGAGCATGTGGACACCTCATCACAGCACTGGATTTTTAGGAAATCGAGCTTCCTGCAGGGAATATTTCTCGCAGGAGTGGTGTCAGAGACCTTGCACTCCAGGACTCCTGGCATGAGGGAGCACTAAACAAATCTCCAGGCTTGGAACAGATCTGCCCCCGGGGCCATGGCAGCATTCCAGCCCTTCCCTTGGAGAAAACATCCCATGGCACCAGGGTGCCGTGTCCTTCCCTGATGGACAGGCTTCTCTTTGCCCATGTCAGAGCTGGTGCTGTTGCCTGATGTGGAACAGCAGTTCCTCCAGCCCTAAACCTTTCCCTGAAGGGTTAATCCCACCGTGCCAGGCCTGGTTCCTCTGGGCAGGGTCGGTGGTGCTGGTCTGGGGCTCTGTGTGGCACCAAACCTCACCCGTGGCTTGGCCAAACCTCTCTTGGGGCCAAACCCATCCCTATTAGAGCTCCCAGGAGGGTGGAGTCAGATGGGATCAGTCTCTTCTCCCAGATAACAAGTGCCAGGACAAGAGGGAGCAGTGGGATTTCAAGCAGTCAGTCAGGGCCTCATGGGGGACAGTTTTCCACTGAAAGTTGCCCAGAATTTAATGTTCTCCACAGAAAGAGTCCAGCCCATGGCTGGTCCTGCTGCTCCTTCAATAGGAAATTAGATTATCACTTACCATAGATGTGCTTCCCATGTGTGTCCAGCTTTCATTCCCACTGGGAAATCACAAACCAAAGTGCTGATGTGCCTCGTGGATTAAAGATGACGAAGAGCCCTTGCTCTGAGGTGTTGTAGGATCTGGGATCCAGCCTGTGCCTTGCAGGTGGAGTTTTTCCACAAAAGAAGAAATTAGACTGCAGGAAAAAAGCATTTTAATTTTTCTCAGCAGCATTGAAAGTGCATGAAATAGAAACTGGAGCCAGTTGATGCCACATATCATTAAAATATATTAACCAAAATAAAAGACAGACTGACTTCCTTTGCACTGTGTGTTTCTAATACCGAAAAAAAGAGCAGAAGAATGAAATTGGGGAAATTTCTGAGATACCCTCCCTTTAATTTTATTTTTTTTTAAATGGGGGCTTATTTACATCATGGAAATTGGATGTTGGATTTCATCTTTGCTGGTTACAGGTGGTTCAGTGTGTCCTGCTGGAGGAAGAATAAACTCTAAAAGCAGTTGTAACAGGGAGAAAACTATAAATTAATAGGCTGAGCACTAATGTGGGGCTTTCATCCTCCCAGCAGAGCACAAATGAATTGGGATGGGATAATGAAAAGGGCCCTGCCAGAGATTACTGTTGAAGAGATTTTGACACCAGAAATAAAATTTGTGTGGTGGAAAAAGGAGCATCTGGCATTGCCCTGTGAGCTGCTCCCAGCTCACGATAAGCCCTGAGCACATTTTTATATCTTCTAAAAATCAGTTGATTTCCAACTGTCAAAACAATGAGTCCTTTTTGCCTCTAAAACCTGGGCTTGCTGCTTCCTCAAACCCAGAAATCTACAGGGAATGGTTTCTTTTGGGGATCCTCCTATTCCCAAAACACATTTAATGTATTTTGAAATTCACAGAATTGCAGTCACAGACTGGTTTGGGTGGGAGGGACCTTAAAGCTCATCTCATTCCACAGGCAGGGACACCTTCCCCTATCCAGGCTGGTCCAAGCCCTGTCCAACCTGGCCTTGGACACTCCCAGGGATGGGGCAGCCACAGCTTCCCTGGGCAACCTGTGCCAGGGCCTCCCCACCCTCACAGCCAGGAATTCCTTCCCAATATCCCACCTGACCCTCCCCTCTGGCAGTGGGAAGCCATTCCCTGTGTCCTGTCCCTCCAGGCCCCGTAACCTGTGCACTGCTCTCCCTTTACTCCCCTTTTCCCATGCCCATGGATGAGCAGCTCTTCCTTGGCAGCAGAAGGTGGGGTGAGGCTCCCCTGGGCTGTGTTTGGGTTCCAGCCACTCTTCCCCATCCAGGGATGGAGCTGCAGGGGGAGATGTCTGAGGAACCTCCCCGGGAACCGGCGCTGACCCCGCTCCTGGACGTGTTCCCGTGACTCACTGGCTTTTATGGGAATCCATCCCAGCCTCGTCCCTCCATCCCTCCAGCTGCTTCCTGAGCACGGGCAGCGCCGCACGAGCCGCAGTGTTTGTTTGGAGTTACCAGGAGCGAGGGGTCACTTCAATCACCGGCAAGTTCCCAACAAAGAACCACGTGTGCCTTTGGGGGAAAAGGACCCAGAAAAGGCTCCTCGGGAACAGCTGAGACTGCCCAGGAAGGGCCAGACAGGGGCAACCAAGTAGCAGCTTTGCCTCAGAGGTTGTTGCCAACTTCCTTCTGTTTGCTGATGTCTTTTTTGGGGGTTGTTTTTGTAGATTCCTTCTAAATATAACACCAGCACCTCCCTGGAGGGGGTTGGAAGCTGTAACTGGAGCTGAACGAGGCATTAATTCATCTGCTCCAAGCTGCACTGGGGGAGAACTTGGATTTCTGATCCCTGGATAAAAGTTGGTTCTCAAGACCAGGATTTTCTATGAATTAATATTCAGAGATATTCATAGAAATCCTTTTCTCTGGCTCCTTTTAGGCAAGGATGTTACAAACCTGCTGGAGTCATCTCCAGGGAAAGAGTCCATGAGGAGGAGTCACAGGTGTGCCCAACCCAGGGAAAACGATTCCTGGACCTTAAACCCTGAGATCACCATAACCCTGAGAGCGTGAGCAGGACACAGGGTGCCCAGAGAAGCTGTGGCTGCCCCATCCCTGGAAGTGTCCAAGGCCAGGTTGGACAGGGCTTGGAGCAACCTGGGCTAGTGGAAGGTGTCCCTGCCCATGGCAGGGGTGGAACGGGATGGTCTTTAACTCTTCCAACACAAACCAGTCTGGGATTCAAGGATTCTATGGCACAGGACAGGGGTTGGCACCTCTCACCCAAAGCCCAGGGTCTGGTCTGGGGATTTTGTTTAAAGTGACACATCTTGGTCTTGTAATCAGCAAACCCCTGGGTTTTATCCTGTGCCCAGTGCTGCTCCCAGGGGAGGCACAGCACCCATGGCAGGGTTCAATTGGAGGCACCTGGATGTGCTTTGGGGGGCTGTTATCCCACGAACCCCCCAGCACAGCTTCTTAAAATCTCTTACCTGGGGCGTTGAAAGGTTGGCTGGGGACACCTTCCCATCGAGCTGGCCTGTCCCAAGGTCGCTGTCACCAGCTCTCGTCCTTGGCTGCTGAGGGGAAGGGTGTCAGTGCTGCCTTTGTGTTCCCAGGCTGTTATCCCCGTGTTGGCTTCGCTGTTGCCAAGGGAACCCACGAGGAGTCCTAAAACAAAAACAGCCGCGAGCCATCCCATTAACACGGGCAGACAGATCTCCCCAAACCAGAACCAGATGTCACAGATAACATCTCTGTTTGTTGCTTGCGGTTTCCTTGATGGCAAACGACTACTGTGCTCTCATCCTGCGTGTCCTGCTCGTCCAGAACATCGTGTGGATACAAACACTGTGCGCTGGGAATGCTGGCCCGGGGCCCCCCGGCAGAGAAACACCGCGGGGGGAGCAGGAGGGAGGGCGGGAGGATGTTGTCGGTGCAGAGAGGGTTGATTTATTCCCGCCAAAGGAGCGGCAGCGACAGCCCCAGCCCTCCCCCTCCACGGTGTGTCACCAGAGCAGGTGTCTCCTCAGCATGGGGGGAATTCTGAGCCAGCTCCAGCTGACTCGAGATGCTGAGGGTGTTTGTTTTTCAGAGAAGTCGTGGCATAGAAAAGCCTTTAGATTCTGAACAAAGCCTCGGCTTCGCAGCCCCAAATCACTCCAACCTGGGAGCTCAGGCACCCGGGTGCCAGCTCCTGGTTACCCCACACCGGGTCCCAGGCAGGAAGGTATTTTGGGAAGATGCACCAGTCACTGAACGGGTGTGTTTGAACCGGTGAGAGCCCTGCGGTGGATTCACGTGGTTTAAGATCCTTTTGCCGTTGATTTCCCCTCTTGCCTCCTTTCTCAGCACAGGGCACACACCAGGAGCTGCCCAGGACCTGCAACTGCCTCAGTGGGATCAAAAGCCCTGCTCCACTCACCTGGACTTCACTGGGGCACAGAAACCCTTCCCCAGCAGGACTGGTAAGGCCCCAGGAGACTCAATTATTATCCTTCCCACGGCTGTTTCCTCTCGGCTATCAGAGCTCTGGGGGAACAGCAGGACCAGGCCAACAGCTCTGATCAATCCCTGTTGTATTTCCTGGGGCTCTCTCTGCAGCAGCTGCTGGGAAATGATTTCCTTGACAGAAATCACGGCCCTTGGGAGCTGTTCCACGGTGCTGGTGGAGGGAGGAGGGGCAGGTCCTGTCCCCACACCTTCCACAGACCAGGTTGCTCCAAGCCCAGTCCAACCTGGCCTTGGACACTTCCTGGGATGGGGCAGCCACAGCTTCCCTGGGAAACTTGTGCCAGGCCCTCGGGGAGCTCAGCTGTGCTGAGTGACCCCACTGTAACCCTCCTTGCAGGGTAATTCAGGTTGAACCCCCCAGCTGGCACAGCCCAGCACAGGGAGTGTTACACCGGCTGTCACTGGTCAGCACCGGGGGATCTCACATGGCTGGGGGGTGACATCACCCCTCGAGGCTTCCCATCCATCCCCACAGCTGGAATTCGGGTGTCAGCTGAGTGTCTGACCCCCTGCATGGGGCTGCCCCGGGGCAGGACCCTGTCCCCTCCCTGCCAGCTCTCCTGGGGGTTGCTGTGCTGGGTTCCGGCAAAGCCCGGGAATCCTCAGCAGGGAATGCTCAGCTGGGAATGCTCAGCTGGGCTCTGCAACACTTCCACCTACAGAACGAACCCTGAATGGCAGCGGGAGCAGCGGCAGCATTCCCGGGAGTGAGGGGTGCCCAGCATTCCCAGGAGTGAGAGGTCCACAGCATTCCCAGGAGTGAGGGGTGCACAGCATCCCTGGGATCCCCAGCGGTGTTGGGACTGCTTGAGGTGGGTCCATGAGCCCCTTGTCCTCTCCAGCAAACCCATGACAAGGGATTTTCTACCCTAAGACAAAAATGGTAACTTTTGTCAATTTTCCCCCTCTACTGCAATATAAGGACTTTTTTTCAGGCCAGCTTTGCTAATTTTAACTTGTTTTGTTTTGAGCTGCCCCGCTGGGCTGTGCCCAGGCAGGAGGTGGGGATGGAGAGCTGTTGCCTTTGCTGGAGTGTTTTCCCCTCTGATTGCCAGAGCTCTGCTGTGCCACAGCCATAGGTTTGTTTCCTTTCCCAAAGAGCTTGGAAGCAACAACCTTGTGCTTTGGAGCAGGGAGCACTGGGGAGCATGGACAGGAGAGCCACAAGCTTGGCTGTTTGTGGATGGCCTGATGGGAAATGATGGATTTCATGAACATTCCCTGGCAGGAGCAGCAACCAGGGGAAGATTTCCTGGAAAAGGGACCCTTATCAGCGTGTGCTGTTGCTGCTGTCACTCACCTGTGGGGTTTGGGGGTGGCCAAAGCCCTGACAGGGACCTCTTGGGCCAATTCCCATCAGGAATGTCCTTATGTTGTTCTTTTTTCTCCTTCCCAAACCATCCAAAGCTCCTGGTCCAGGTTCATCCTTCCAAGGTTTGTGATAAAGCTGAAAGGGAAGTACAGAACAGTCTGAATGTAAATCCCTTTAAACATTTGCAGCACTTTGTTGACAATTAGTCAAAACATTATAACAAACCTTTTTCCCTGAGGAAAAGCAACTCTGAGGGTGAGACCAACCCCCCCAGCCCCTGTGCCCCCAGAGAACTGCTCAGCTGGGACAGACATGTCCCCCTGTCCCTGTGGGTCCCAGGTTGCCAGAGCTCAGTGGCAGCACCTGATTCCCATCAGTCTGTCAGGCAGTGCAGGAATACTCTGGTTTTCCCAGGGAACTGTCCCCGTGGCACCACAGTGGGTGCCACACTCGGTGCCACACAGGTGTCCCCACCGTGTCCCCCCTGCCAAGCCCCTCTCACCATCCTGCTCCCCTTTCCCTCAGGATTGCAGCTCCCACGGGCAGCCCGAGGCTCGCAGTCAGGTGCTGTTGGAGCTGGTTTTCCTGGATCCATCCCAGCCAGGGGACTGTGCCTCAGGGTGAGACACAGCTCCCATTCCTGCCTCCCCCAGCTGCCATTCCCAGGAGGGCTCCACTCTGCCAGTGCTCAGCCAACATTTGCGCGTGTCCATCTGGGCTTGAGGTTCAGCCTGAGCCACCTCTGCGTGCTGTGACAGCCCAGGAGACACCATCCATGAAAATCCTGGGGAAGATGGACAGGAAGGACCAAAATCTTAATTCCTGGTGTTTCACCTGCACACTCCACTGCTGCACTGGGCAGGACAAAGCCCCTGCAGGTGACAATCAGGGCAGTGAGACACCAAAGGTCAGTGCTGGGCACTCGAAGCTCTGTCTCACTTCTCAAACACATCCATCAGTGTTTATTCCCCCTGCCTGGGTCTGCAGGGAAGCAGAGCTGGGGGCTCCAGGCAGGAGCTGTGCTGAGGCCCTCCTGCTGCTTGGAGGCTTTTGGATGTCAGAGGTGTTTGTGCTGCTGGAGGTTCCCCTTAGTGACCCAAGAACATGGAAGACACCAAGGAATTTAAAAATAACAAATCTTAAAGAAAAATCCCTGTCAGCTACTGAGAGAGGTGAGTGCAGCCCTGAGGGACGCTGGGGGTCAGTGTGATTGAAGCCAACCAGCCCTCTCAGGGGATTCATTTTAGTGATGTAGAGCTCAGGGAACACACATGGCCCTTCAAAGGCTCGGCAGAGACAGCGACTGTCACAGTGAGATTTCTGGCTCTCGTGTCCAGCAGAGCCTTGACAAGTCCTCCAGGAACAGGGGCATTATGGGGCTGCAGCCACTCAGGACCATCACCCTGCCAGAGTTCTCCCCCCACAGAGCCCACAAGCAAGGGGCCCAGGCAGTGACTCTCAGCTCACCCACAGTGGGCTCCTCCTCCTGACAGCTCTGACCTGGAACTCCTGGCATTGGGAAAGTCCTGCTGCTTTTACCTCAGCAACCACCAACCCCAGAGCCCACGGCTGGCAGAGCTCTTGGGTGGCTGAGGCCACCATCCATCACTTCATCCACCACTGGCTGGAGAGTTTTTCCCCATGGAGAGAACAGCAAACCTCTCATTGCCTGTCAGTGAGCAGATGGTGTGTGGCTGTTCATCTCCAGCCGTTGAACTCCACGTTGCAGCTCCATCTCTGCCCAGCACTGGAAGCACAGAGGGTTGTTAGTGCTCACACACACAGAGCTGAGCCCCCAGTGTCACCCCCACACCCAAATCCCCAGTCCAAGGGAGCTCCAGGCAATCCTGCTGCTCCTGCGGCCCTGGGATTCCACTGTTGCCCTCGACTATCCGAGCACTGGGATCTGGGGGAAAAGCTACTCTTGTTGCCATGGTAACAAATGTATTTTCCTGAAAGCAACACACACAAAACACAGTTATTACAGATTAAAAAACCATGGTGGTAACCAAGAAACAGAGAAGACATTTTCTCTTCTCCCTTTCAAAAATACATGTTCACTTTTGCATTTCCAGGGTGCAGCTGCAGCCGGGGCCCAGCAGGACACGGGGCAGGAAAGCTCCAGCTCAGGAAGGTTCTGCTCAGCCGGTTTCCCTCTCCTATTTGAGGCCTGCAGGGTGTGGGCACCCAGACTGGCACTGCTCCCACAGTCCCAGGGGCCAGACCTGCCCCCACCTGGGCTCTGCAGCTCGACATTCCAGCCAGGTCACCCTCGGCAGGGAAGTGGAGAGGCATTTAGGGAGGGAAAAGGTCTTTCCATGCTGGACTCTGGGTCAGCAAGGACAGCAAACTCCTCACCACTGTGGGTTTCAGGTCTTGGTACCACCTGAGCAGCAGCTGTAGGAATCAGACCCAGCTCCTCCTCACCCCCCTTTCCCTCTCTCCTTTCCCTGGCACTGGAGCTGTCCCACCCCAGGACACAGCTCCAGCAGCTGGACACAGTGAGGAGCTCCCAGCAGCTCCTGCTTTCAGTGCAGCACAGGGAATGTGTCTGAGCTTCCCAAGCTGTGTCAGCATGACCCTTGCAGGGGTGGCCCTGCTCAGCTGAAAGCTGTGTCAGCACTTCACCTGCAAGAGGATCCCTCCTTCCCCTGCCAGCATCCTGCCACTGCAATGAAAGATGGGAAATAAAACCCCAAACCTGATCCCTCCAAGCCTTTGGAACAGCTGACGCAGCTCCTGCCCTCTGCCCCACAGAGCTGAGAAGGACAGGGACACCCCAAACTCCCAGGGCAGCTGACAGAGCAGGACACCCATCCCTGGTTCATCCCACTGAACTTCAGAGAGGTCCATAGTCATTTATTCCAACTGCTGCCTGGCCTCCCTGGGAAGGACAAACATCTAAAGCTTTCCCAGTTTACTCACCATGTCCCACTCAGGCACAGAGCTCAAGGCCAGGGTGTGTAAGAAAAGCAAGTTTAGTTCCAACACATTTGGCATCCAACAGGCAATAAAAAAAAAAAAGCTTTATTTTTTATATTTTAATTCTTGTAAAAATCTTTTAACACATGCAGACTAAAACCAGTGTAAGAAAGTCTCCACCATTGTTTAAACAAATAACTATACTTAAATATAAGCGTCTGCAATTGACTGGTATAAAAATAAGGTACGTTTTGCTTTTTTACAGAAATCCTGTCTCCAGTTCTCAGCTCAATAAACAATACACAGCTCTAATACATACAACGAACCTGATCATGGTTTTCCACCCCTTGGATACTGCTAAGGTATTATGTGCAAAAAGTTGGTAACAGTTCCTGTCCCAAAAGAAAAAACAAACAAAAGTCTTCCGCCCCTCTTGGCAAACGAGCCCCGGGGCCCAAGTCCCTCCAAACCTGGCAGGGGCTGTGCAGTCCCACAGTTCTGTGCCCGGGGGGCTCAGCGCCGGTGCCGCCCGTGCCCCGAGCGGCCGCTGCCGTGGTGCTTCCCCTTGTGGGAGCGCTCGAAGGAGCGGGAGCGCTCGCGCCGCTCCCGGTGGTGGCTCCGCTCGTGCCGGTGCTTCTTGGCGGCGTCCGAGTGATCCCTGGACTTGCTCTGGGAGCGGGAGCGGGATTTTTTCCGCTTGTGGCCGTGTCTGTTGGCGCCCTTGAGCTCCTCGCGGCCGTGCTTGGCCTTGAGGTGCGGGGAGCTGTGGTTGTGGTGCCGCCGGGGGCTCCCGCTGTGGCTGCGCGAGCGGCTCCGCGACCGCGAGCTGTAGGTGCCCGACAGGCTGCGCCGGTTGTTGTAGCTGCGGGAGAGGGGCAGTTAGAACGGGCCTTCCACACAGGGAAACAACAACCAAACCACAGCAAAGGGGCTGCCAAGGCACTGGGAGAAGTCAGAGGCTGTTTTTCCCATGGGGATAAGTGAGGAAGGACAGTAAATATCCCCGACGTGAAGCCTGGGATCGTGCCCCTGCCCATGGCAGAGGGTGGCACTGCATGGGCTTTACAGTCCTTCCAACCCAAACCAGTCTGGGATTCTTTTAGTTGAGCTCATTTGAAAATAAACAGCCCAAACCAAACCCAGAATGCAGCACCTTTCGAGATTTTTCCACCTTGTCAAGAATCTCCCCTCAACACCAGCTCACAAACTGCTTATTGCCCTTTTCCCTCAGTGATCTCACAGGGATACTTTGGGGAACCCTTCATTGACATCCAAGTTGGCAGCTTCCAACTTGGATATGAGCCTGAAGATTCTTCAAAAGTACGTATTTATGAAGGCAGGAGCTCTCCCTGCATCCCCCTCTTCCCACCACAGGAGAGAGGCAGAGCCCTGAAGAGCCGGGCAGAGCACCAGGGAGCACTGACACCACAAAGCTGCCACACGTCTAACTGGTCCTGTGGCACTTCTCACCCCTTCCACGGGCACTGTGTGCCCAGACTGCTCCCATTTGTGACGGGATCCTTATGGAACTGAGCATGCCAAAGCCCCCGAGCCGTGCCCCTCCTGCCCTCCCCAGAGCCCCCACTCACTGCCGCCTCGGCGTGTGCGAGCGAGACCGAGACTTTGTCCTCGACCGGGACCGGCTGCCGCTCCTGCTGCTTCGACTTCTCTTGCTTTCTTTTCTCAGGCTGGAGGGGGGCAAAAACAAACCAGGCTTGCACTTCTGAGGCACTTGTTACTCACTACTGAAGGAGCTCAGCAGTGGCTCACTGTACTTTAGTTAAAGAAAGTATTTTTACTCAAGTATTCTCTTTACCAGGAGAGGTTTTACCTACCCATTGTAAGGGCTCTTGGAGGTTTGCTGCCTCTCCTCTGGCTCCTTTTTAATGGTTTTGGTATTCACAGACACTGGTGATTTCTCTTCAGCTTTTACTTCTCTTGGGGAAGCTGAGAATTAAATTTAAATTCAAAATTAGCTACTTATTCATCCTTTGTCATGAACATACTGTACATCCCTTTAACACCTGTACCAGTATCTGCACTAAATGTAGATACAAACTCAGTAGCTACTATTTCATTCCATCTTTCCATTTCTAGTTCGTTCCTGCAGCAGGATGTTCACGGGGAGACCTATAATGTGAAGCCAAGTGACAGCAGAGGAGGAAGAGCACTGTGACTCCACACCACACAGCCAGGCTCACCTTCATCCACCAGGGGCCAAAAGGCACAAAATAAAAGCTGCCCTTATGGCCCACAGATACAGAGCTTGTTACTTGGACAATAATGTCCAACGCTACAGAAAGGATTAAGACTGAACAGCAAACTGCAGCTAAGTGTGTTTAGCCCATAAGTGACTGTCTTTACAGAGATGGATTCACCTCCCATGGAAGGGCTGCTAAGCCCAAAAGAGCTCCTGCTTTCCAACACCCCCAGCCTTGGCTCCCACCTCACATTCTTTGTCCATGAGAAATTCACACTTGCCAGGTCAAACCCTCTGAAAACTCCGACTCTTCAGAAGGAACTGTGACAGTGCTGCTCCTCACAACACATGCCCAAGCTTCTGCAGGGCCACAGGCAGACCAGGCCCTGAGCCTTCTGCCTCACCACCAGCACTGGGTCAAGGCCTGTGAGGGCCTTTGAACCCCCCTGGCAGTTCATAGCTCAAAAGCAGCAGCAGGGAGAGGTGAAAGCACCAAGACAAACCATCAGACTTCTGACAGACAGGCTGGTTCAAAATAGGTGATACAGTTTATTCCCTCTGGTGCCAAGACTGTGCTGTGCCTCTCCCTCCTCCATTTCCTGACCACCAGCTGCCTGCCTTCACCACACTGAACAGTTGCCAAGTGCATTAAAAAAGGCAGAGAAAGCCATTTTCAGAGACACCTGCAGCAAAAGGAGCCATGAAGGCCATTGCAACATCCCCCAAACTGAATCCAGAGTCTCTCCTCACACCACGTAACACACACCACCTCCTGTCTCACGAAGGGTGCATGTCATTAATACATCACTCTCCCATCTGTGGAAGTATGGAGTATCCCTTTTCCCTAAAATCTGTTATTTCAAGGTCTTGAAACTGGTTTTAAAATTTATGTTTAAAAAAAAAAAAAAAAAAAGAAACATTTGCCTTGCTGCTTAGTTCTGTGAGGGAGCCTAAACTGTCTCAGCAGTTCAAGAAGCAAACCTGCCTTTTTTTTTTTAACTACCCTGGGACACAGATTTAGTTACTTATCAAACAGTGTTATGCAAGTTTCTATTCAGAAAACAAACTTACATGGTTTGGATGCAGGAGAAAAGCCACCCAGTGTTGAGAGTGCTGGAGTTCCATCTGGATTTAAACCTTTTGCCTTCAGTTTAGCTTCCTGTAGTGCCATTTTCCTCTTTTCTACTTCTTTATCCAGAAACTCATAATTGGGCTGTGGAAGTAACAATGAGGTAAGAGGCTGAGCTAATGCAATTCGTATTTTCGTCTCATTTCTGAAAAATACTCAGTTGGCTTTAACAATCTGTCCAGTAATGGGGGTAATTTCCAAAATTTGTTCTCACACCCTCCTCACGGGAGCCTTTCCCATTAGTAGATCTGTATTCCAGCATTCCCAAACTTTTGGAGAGCCATAACTCAGCTCAAGCTGCACTGAGCACAGAGCAGGAAAACTGAACACCTCAAACTTACCTTTTTTCTGGTATAAAGCTTGAGAGTGGTCAGGCAGATCTCCTGAATCTCCTCTTCCGTGGTGCCAAAGAGCAAGAACCAGTGAGGGCGAGTGGGCAGCGGAATCTGAAACCCAAACAACCAGCAACAGGGATTACAGCCCAGGCTTTTGTTTTCAATGTCTGCATGAATTCTGTTGAAAGCAGCCCCCTGGCAATGCGAGGCAGTGCTCACCTGCAGGGCCCTGGCAGCCAGGTAAATGCAAGCACACGCGATGGTCTCGGGCTGAAAGCGAACAAACACGTTTGTCCGAAGGCTGTCGTTCATGTAATTCCTAAAAACACACAGCATGAAAGGTTGGATCTCTGGTTTACTTTTTATATATTTTTTTTTTTAAGAGGATAACAATACTGGAGACTCAATTGACTTTATTATTTTTTCTGTTATGATGTTAAACATTTGGTTTCTGTGGAACTGTGGTATTTGGTGTTGACGTGTCACTTTGTAACAGTCTGCACCTTGGCACTGTTTGAAACCCCAGTGCAACAACGTGTAGTAGCAAATGCCAGCAGCATTTCATGGCTGCTTCTTTATGGGTTCGGTTATCCCAAAATGTCCAGAGCTCACAACCTTACAAGTACTTTGCATCTGTCCAGCTGTTTGCCTCAGACACCAGTGGTGCTGCATTTAAAAACCAATTTAAAACCCAGGTGCAAGCAGGAAAGCACAGTGTATTTGCAACCTACCATCTTCCAGAGGCAAC